ACTTGTTGCTGAATGTCAGCACTGTACCTTTAAAAACCAACCGTTCCCTGCTCGTAGTCCCAACTGACGACCGGTGGCCACGTACGGCCGTTAACCGTTGACTACTTTTACCGGTTGAACGTCGCGACGTTAACGACACATTAGCTTTATTTTAACTGCTTTTACTTTCTAGACAAGACTTGGACTGTGGGAGGGGAGGCGGGGGTAAAGTTTTGAATGAAGGTCCCCCGCTGGGACTGTAAAGCGGGAGGAGGGGGCAGTTTGCGGGGTCGTCCGGGCTATCGGATCTGGGATCTGCTCACATTTATAACCAGACAGACGGCGGCTTGTTCGGGGCAGAGCTGAGCGGGACGGACGGGCAGGCTGACCGAAGAGGGGACGCGGAGTTTTAAACTTTTAATTCTTTACCCGGACTATAAAAAGAAGAAGTGGAAAGTTTGGAATAACAGAAAAGTTTAGTTTTTTTTTTTTATATCCCTGGGTCTGGACCCCGGTCTCCTGTCAGGACTACGAGCTGCTGGACTGTAAGCTACTCATTCACTCTGGAAGTATCACTCTTTTACAGATTGTGATTCAGGCTTTAGCCTTTAAACATAAACTCGTAACTTTACTTCATTGAAGCAGACACGCAAAGTATCTTCAAAATGGATAAGTACGAGGATTTGGGACTCGAGGCGAGTAAGTTTATCGAGGACCTGAACATGTACGAAGCGTCCAGGGATGGTTTATTTCGGACGCGGAGGGATGCGGGAAATAACCCCGACTTTGAAGAGACGAGAAAAGTTTTCGCCTCTAAAATGACTAAAATACACATGCAGAAACACCAAGAGGAGATGGCAAAAAACAACCAGGCCATAAAAATGAATGGGGGCCACAACAGCACGCATTACACCAAGGACAGACCACCCATCAATAGCTACAGACAGCCGGGGGAAGCGGCGGCGAAGCCCCCGATACTCTCTGGCCCTGTGCCGGGCACCACGGCTGGGAGTCAGTACGCACCGTTTGACGGCCAGAAACACACAAGCGTCCAGTCTGAACCTCCAGCCGGCAGGGCATATGGCTACGGAAACAATTACGATAATAAGGAGCGCTTAGAGCCACATTCATACCAGCACAGCGCCCCTACTCCCCCCAGCCCAGGAAACGCGTCTCACAGCGCCCCTGCACATGCTCGCCACCCTGTCCCCCAGCCGGCTGCCTGGGCCCCCTCCAGTGAGAACCAGCTCCCCCCATCAGTGCCCGGGTCTGTGAGCAGCAGTGCATCTCAGCAGCAGCCCCAGTACCAGCCTGCGTCCCCCACCGCCAACAGTCTTCCACCTCAGCAGGACCATGCTGTCCCCCCGTCTGTAAGCCGTAGTCCCCCCTCCTCTGCTGGTCCAGCCAGGGGATGGGCCGGGGAGCGCTCTGGCTCAGCGAAACCAGACCTCATCCCTGCCCTGCCTCTGAGCGCCTTCACAGGAGGGGCTGACTTCAGCACCCAGCAGCCCTCTGCACCGTCTGCGGCCCATTACGCGCCACCTTCTCCCACCTCGAGACCCTCTACCAACCACAATGGTCCCCTGCCAGCTTCCTCGCTTCTCCCCGCACCTTCTGAGGCAGCTCCACCGAAAGCCCAGGTGACGTCCGCAGCCCAGCTCCCTGGCACTGTATCCAAAAGCAGCAGCCAGGTTCAAGGTCAGAGCCAGCTGCCCGGCTTTGGACCGGCCACCAGAGCTGAAGCTGAAGTCCCGTGCTCCTCCAAGCCTGTCCAACTCCTCTGCCAGTCTCTCCTCACGCAACCTCCTGAACAGGGGCCTTCAGCAGCCGAAATAAAACTAGAGGCCCTCACTAAACGGCTGGAGAAAGAGATGGACGCCCAACCAAAAGCGGACTACTTTGGTAAGACAGTTCAGACTATCCAGCATCAACAAGGGGCTTCTGTCCGTCTGTCCGCTGCTGTAAAACCCACTGAAATGACAGAACCGTCCACCCACAGTTCAGAACACGAACCCACTTGTTTTTGATTTACACACACTGTCACCCTTTGTCATCCCCCGTCTGTGTTTCCCTCGTGTGTTTCTGTGGCCTAATCAGGAGCAGGATTGTCTTCTGCCTTTGTTTGATGGCATTCTGGTGGTCTCTGCTGATAAAATAGCTGAACTTATTAGGCAGACACTGTGGGAGGCCTCTCCTTCTCTTCTGTGGAACGCAGACAGAATCGTTTTCTAATTGGTTTCATGTCGTTTGTTAAATGATTCATTGTCTGTAAAAGGTGGCGCCAAGGCCAGAAGGAGAATGTTTCTCTCTTTATCTCCTCCTGGAGATTTGATTATTATCATTGAGGCAGCATTGCTCACTGAACTCATTAGTTAGACCCCAGTGAAGTTGTTTTAACGCTCCACCCCACGTTGAGTTTTATCGACCGACACTGGCGTTCATGTTTTTCAAATGATGTCATAACTACAGACCTGTGCTTGCACATTTCTCACGACTCTTTGTGAGCATGCTCGTGCAGTCGACGAACACGTGCGCTCGGAGAAAATGGTGATGAAGAACAGCAGCTGTGACTGACTGATAGTTGTGGCATGTGGGTGCACATTTTTAATGAACACAACACGTGTTTTATCTTGGAAAACACTTGTGGCTTGTTGACCTGGTCTGATCTATCCTGACGTTTCACATATTTTAAATATATGATGTTATTTTCTGCAACTGAGATTATAATCAGCACACAACAGGCTGAGGGATAGAGACATGTTGTTGAAGAACGTCCATCATCAGCAGATTACTGGAGTTTCTATTCCTCATATCACTGCTTGTAGCCCTTCAGCCGCTCTATCTGCACTGTTGGAGCGCCGTCAGGAAATTAATGCATCATTGGAAAAACAGATGCTTCGCCGTGAGGTCAGCTGACAGGCTTCTGTCCCACATTCAGACACAGAACAGATCTATACCGTGTTGTGCTGCGAGTGTGTGTTTGTGTTGCGGAGAGAGTCATCACGTGGTGGCCAGGTGTTCAGAGCCAAGGCCATTCATGAAAAACGGGATGTCCCGCCGCACCGTGAGAGAAAGAGAGCGCGAGATGGGGCAGATACCCCCTGTTATCCACACACACACACACACACACACACACACACCCTCTCGCAGTGTGTAGAGATCAGCTGACCCAATAGAAACAAGCTTGTGCTGTGTCTTTCTGTCTGTGGTCTACTGCCCTCTGACCTCTGTGTGTAACATACTGCAGTATTAACGTTCATGTGTGTGTGTATATACTCTTTTCTGTTTTGTTTCTCGTTAAAAAGATGTGTTCACTTATTAGTACATTTGTTCTTGCTGCTTTTGATTTCATAACACTTTGTTTTTGTGTAAATTGCAGCTATTGGACTTATCTAGATTTAAGGCCACCTGGCTGTGGTTGTTTTTTGCAGCCATCGTTTAGTTCAGCATTGAATTCAGCAGTAAAATGTTCTGCATCCTTCACAACAACCGACTTGGTATTGATCGATGAACACTGTGTCTGTGTGCAGCCAGTCCTTAATACCACTTTTTAATTCAGGGTTAGTTGCGTGTTAGTGTGCACGCGCCTGCCGTGTAAAAGCCACTGACCTTGATCATTGTGTTGATGTCTGTCAAACTCGCTGAATGTTCTGCTGCTTCCACAGCGCTCAACTGTTTGCCCGGCAGCTTCGGCTCCACTCTTTGAAAAAAGGGAAAATTCAACTTAAGACACAGAATCTGTCAAGGGAAGGGAAAATAAAAGGCAAAGGGCGCTGCATTCATTATAATACATTTAATAGAAATCATTGTTTTATATTATACAACAAATACAGGCCATAAAATAAAAATAATATACAATAAAGGCATAGTAAAGTCAAGTATTGATGCATTCACTCAATTATTGGGAGAGCCAACATGAGGGTTGTGTCCAGATACATATTTCTGATAATTATATGCATCAGTTTAGGGCCTGAAACAGAAATAAACAGAAAAATGTGAACCTATTTTAAAACCTAGTGTTGTCTTACTTCATACTAGTAAACCTACTTCATGTCTGTATGTCAGAAGAGTCGTCTTTAATTTATATATTTAAAAAAAACGTAATATAGTCGTTTCTAGAAGTTACTTGATTCAGCTTTTCGGCACCGCGGAGCTGCTCAAACTGGAATTCAGCTAATTAGTACTTCTCTCTGACGCGCTTGGAGGAGTTCATGTGAAAAAGAGAGGTCATATAATTATAGCCCTGGGAAAACCCTGGGCTCTATTTGTGTAATAGTGTGTGGATGTCTGTTTCTGTGTGTGTATATGTGCATAGCTGGCTTTCCTTATGAGAGTCTGTTTAGTGTGGTTTTATTTGCATGCTCAGCCTTTTGCGAGTACAAGAGTCAACCTCAGTCACTTTCCTTATTTGCCAATATGATGAAATAGGACTTAAACTCTTCTGGCTGTAGCCCCCAAATGAGAAACTATACTTCTCGCCTCAGGAAACAAATACATAAAAGTAAAATTCTTTTGTGCGAAGAAAGAAAACCCAATACTTTTTAATGAGAAAAAGAACAAACAAACAAACAAACAAGAAGAAATGAAGCAATTCTGGCCTCCTTCATCTTCTTGAAAGAGCTCCAAATCTCTTTTTTTATACAAGTTGTAGCTCCTCCCACTACAGGAAACGCCACAATTATTAAATCAATTAACTCACAGCAAGTACTCATCTGTTTCTCAGTAGATAAATAGCAATTTAACACTGAACAAACATCACTAAACAGTTGAAAGAGCTGTATCTCTGCAAAAAAAAACCAAAGCTGCTAAAATGTTCGAGCCTGTGTTGTGTTTTCTGTCTAAGAAACAGTCCAAAATATGTGTGACAATGAGCTAACAACGTCTCAAAAACAACACTTCAACACTACTGTCAACCAGCACTTTACCAAGACAACACTTCAATTGAGAGGTGATATAAAAGTGGTTGCCAAGTGGAGTGTGTGTATCTCACTTTGAGGAATAATTCTTATGTATCTCTGTTTTCTCTCCAGCATGTGGAAGGGCCTGAATGTCAACTGCACAGACAGCACAGGATACACGCCTTTACATCATGCTTCACTAAATGGACACAGGTAAGACTTCTTCAATTATTAATAAATCGAGGTGCTCTATAGTTCAATACAAAAGCGTTTGAAGAGGTGTGTGTTTACGTTTATATGTTTTTTTTATATGTATGTGCAAGTCTGTCAAGTGTGTGAGCTGGAAGCCATCAAATTATTGGTATTTTTGTTCAATAGTCACCAAAATGAATGTAATTTTCTGTCAATCCACTGATTGATTGATTGACTTTTTTTTCAGTACTAATATGTTAGAGTGCTGAAATGTCATGTATGTGAAATAAATTATCTAGTTAGTGGAAAAAAAGTCAGAAAATGCATTTTTCCTTTGATTGTTTTCCTATTTCTGCTGTCAAGTGAAGACAAAATGTATTTAATAATTTAGTAATTATTCTTCTCAGGTTGTAGTATATGTGCTTTGTGCTATAGGTGAATGTTGTGTGCAGGATCATACCTATTAATATTATATTCCATTTCTGCCAATAGATCCTTTTGAATGTTACACACTTGACCTTTAATATTAAATTTTGAGCAGGTCTCTTTTGAGTTTTCTGAATAAACATGCAATCAATTATTTTTTTGACCATTTGGGGGCAGCAGAAACCAATTGTGAACACAACATTGACAGATTATAATCACTTTTTAAATTTTAATTTCTGCCCAAATGGCGAAAATTTAAGTAAAATGTAAGTTACTACACCTGAGGAAAGTAGCCTATCTGTGTCTTTTGGCTGCAAAATTCTTCTCACTAGCTAGTTGCTAACTGTCTGTCTGCTGTTTGGTGCTGACAGTCCGGTTGTACAAAGACATTTTAAATCGATCTGTAGTGTTAGACCAGTCTTAAACTTGGTCTTACACTAGTCTAATGATGACTGCTAATTAGCGTTTCCATTGTAACAATCAGTGACACCTGCCGATCAGCGCCAACGAATGACCGGAAGAAAGAAAAAATGTGGCGTGTATTATTTGTGTTTTAATAACATTGTGGCGTGAATAAGGAAATAGATAATGGCTTTTAAAGACTGCAGTAACATGGAGGAAATACACATCAGTGAAGAGGTTGTCAGTCGTTTCATTTTGCCCAAAGCAAAACTAGTATTCTGCGTCCGAGTGTGTCGACTTTGTTAGTACTGAGCCCTGCTACAATAACAGCATGTCAGCTCTGCTACAGGGCTGAAATTCATTTTGTGCTACTGGTAGTTCTTGTATTGTTACACTCTAAACTGAATTTCCCCAGTAAAAGATCCTTGTAACTCTGGGATTCTTCCAGAACATTTTCTGCTGGAGTGAAGAGAGCTGAGCGGTTTTGGTTTTTGACATGGTTGCTCAGTCAACCATGTTTTTTTGTGGGGGGTGGGGGGGTTGTATGAAAGGGGAAATTTTTAAGTTAACCAGGATTCATGGAAAATTGCTCCTATACTCATGACAGCTTGTGCAAGGGATGAATGTAGACATCTTTATTTAGTCTTTAGTCTGACTTGTAGATATTATAATATTATAATATTATAGAAGAATTGATTATAGCCAATTAATATAAAGGTTGAATTAATTAATATAAATACAGAACATAAATGGTCTTAGACTCATAGACTGGTGTCAGTGCATTTCAGAGTTAATCTTATGAGGTTTAATTAGACGAAGGATTACAGAATTTAGAGAACAAATGTAATCTTTATATTAAGTTAAATGATCACAACCAATCATCGTCGCATTACAGCAGTCTTGTGTTGTTCTGCGTGTCATGACACGCCGGTACTCTTGGGCAATGGGTCAAAATTGCAAACACACTATTTCTGCAGAAGTTTAAATGTGTGCATACTCTGTGTCTGTATCTGCACAGAGCTACTGTGCAGCTTCCTTTCTTCACCTGGGCCTGCTGAGAAATCCGTTACACAGTGTGGATTAGCTGCAAGCCTGACTGCTATCCCAGCTCGGCGGAACTGAAGGATTAGTACTGTGTTTTGGGGGCAATTATGTGGATTTCCTACTTCACATCAACTCAAGAGGAGAGGAGGGAGGGAGGGAGAGAAAAATGCAGCCTCACAGTGAAAATTAGGCCACCAACAAAAAGCTACAGAGGAGTGATTTAACGTTTAGGTGGGAAAGTAAAAAGAGAACTGGCAATTAAGACATAGATGGAAGAAACTTGGCGGCAGACAGTGCTGCATTCAGAGATTTGTTATTCAAGCTGGGTTTAAATTGTTGTTTGAGATCATTTTAATCATTTTTTTTACCACATAAAACTTTTGGAGCAAGAAGTTGAATATTCTTATATTTGACCCCCAGATCCTGCCAGTGTGGTTTTGCTATATAATTTCCACTTAAAGTGAGTCAATTATATAAAAATTGAATAACTCATTAATTAACAAAGCAGTTCATTAAGCATCTCAGTGCTGCTTTCACCTCTGGTCCCGGGAGAGGTTTTGCCCTTCTCCCTCCTCTGTTTCTCCCCCTGACATTTCAAATGCAAATGAAGCCCTTCACCTTTCCTCTACAGAGAGAGGTGACAACTTCAGCTGAAGACTTCCTAATATGAAACAGCCCTGCTGACATTACTACTGAGCAGCAGCTAAGTGGATTTCCAGAACAAGCACAGGCACAATGATTTGTCACTTTATCTATTTGTGTAAGGGAGATTACTTTATTAGAGGGAAACATGAGAGCATTTGTCTGTTCTCAGTTTGTGATCATTTTCAGCTGAACTCCCTGCTATCACTGCCTCCTGGCCTGGGCGGTATACTGATCCTTCACTCATAGTAACACCATACATCCCTCCATGAACTATAAGCCCGTGGTTTACATTAGGTACTTCAGGTAGGTGCCAGCTTGATACTGAGCAGAACTTGTGGTTGTAAATCTATGATGTGAGTGAAGGAGGAAACAGAAAAGTAGATAGAACACCTGATTTAAATACATTAATTCAGTCCAATTCAGTCCCAAATGTACATGTTGATGTACATAAACCTGTGTTTTTGAGTATCAAACAGGGCTAACTCACTGAAGATTTGAAGGCAGCGTTAGGGAAGACAAAACACGCCATGATTTTTGCAATGTTATTCATGCAGATGTGAAGGGCAACATTTCCAAGTTTATTCTGTCTTATTCTGTCCTTGTGTTTCATTAAAAATAGAACAGCATTCTGTATCCCTTATCTTCTTGAGAGTAGTTATAGTTAAACAAAAATGGTTCAGTTGAAATAAGGAGGAGTTGCAGTAAAGATGTGGTGTGGTGTTGCAAAACTTCACCACCATATTGTTTTTTTGGCAAGATGTCAAAGATATAATAACTTAAATGGTAGGTACGGGAAAAACATCCTGTGTGGGTTATTCAAGCTAATTTTGGCTCTAACATATGTGATGTGATTGTGATGTGATTGACTGGACACTTATTATTTTATTTATTTAACCAGTTAAAGGGTCACCAAGGTCACAGAATATGAGGCAGGAGAAAAGGCAGCAAGCATTTATTATATAAGCAGTTATATAGTTTGATTCCTTCTTGGATATATGACATATTCAGTAAAATTATACAATTATTGTATGTTGCAAAGTGAGTTATTCTTGTGTTTTTTTGGGTGAAATGTGACAATATTCCATGATATGGATTTTAGGTCTTAGTGCCCAGCTCTCCTCCTCCTCCCTCTCTCCATCCCTCCATCTTTCGATCTGATGATATATTGATCTGTGTGTGTGTGTGTCTGTCTTTCTCAGGGAAGTGGTACTAAAGCTGTTGCAGTTTGAGGCGTCCACAAACATCGCTGACAGCAAGGGTTGCTTCCCACTGCACCTGGCCGCCTGGCGGGGAGATGTGGACATCGTCCGCATCCTCATGCACCACGGACCCTCACACTGCCGTGTCAACCAACAGGTAAACGCCACAATCCCATCATCACCATTCAGTATGCCTTGGTCTGAGGTACCTTGTGGCACAAAAGACACAGCCAAAAGATGCCTAAAGAATGAACATTTGGAGCTTATGATCATGCAGCTCCTTTCTCTTGACATACTAAACAGCTACCTGCTCTGTCAGCGGTCAAGGTCTTCATGGGTCCACTCAGTTCTGAGGAACCCAGACCCAACCTGGGTGCTTAATAAGTTTCTATGACTTTATTTTGTTCATAGGACATGAGCAATATTGCTGCTGTAGTCGATTGTGGCTGCTTGTTAATTGATAGCGCTTCATGCTTGATAGCGCATAATGCTGCTGCCAGTGTTGTTGTTCTCCATCTATCGGGGTCTGTTCGGGTCTACCGCATTCTGTAGCAGTGCTAATTATCTTTTGGTCTGTTTGGATCTGGTTGTGCTCAGGTCGCTTTTGTATTGGGTGTGTCTGTGTTTAATAAATGAATGAATGCATGTCAGGTTCAGCTAGCTTTACCACAGATCTGTTATGATCATGAGGACCTCTCGTCGGTGGGCTTCTGCTGCTGGCCCTGACCTCTAATGTATCACTGGGAGAGGACTCAGCAGAGTATCACTAACATTTTTGTTTGGACTTGTAGGTAGCCATTTCGCAAGTTGTGTGTTGCTACCTTCCATAAAAGAAATGATACATGAATCTAACCTTCGTTCGTGTTTTTCGGGGACCCCTGAGCCCCCACTTACATGTGAAATGGTTAATTGTGGCTGAAAGAAACACCCTCCCTGTGTGCTTTCACTCTTTCAGAACAAGAAAGGTCTTATCAACTAAATTAAAGTTGAATTCTTCTGTTGTATTTCGTGGGGCATTTTTAAACCAGCGCTGCCACAGGTCGTCTCTTTATGGGTCCTATCTAACAGAGCCGATCTTTTACAGTTCCCAGTGATCTCTCTCTGACAGCCGGGTGAGCGTTTCAGCTCTGGGAGCATTCAGCCTGCCGCTGCTGTCATTCCTCATCAGCAAAAATGACCTTCTTCTCCTCCCTCAGTATTTTCTGTCCATCTCCGCTTGCAGTGTATTGGTGATGTCATGGCTCGCTGATGCTCCGCATTTTAAGATGAGTACAAGGCACACGGGAAGTGGTGGTAACTCAGAAGTGCTGGCTAAAATGTTAATGGCTAAGATGTCTGTTTTAATATTCCTATTCCTGATGGCGGTGTAATAATGGACCCCCAGCTTATTGGAGCGTTATTTACTCTGCCTATTAAGCACATTTTCCTCTGTCACCATTAGCCAAATCGTTTCCCTCTGAGAGTTGTTAGAGCCTAATTGTTTGTTGTGATAAATGGTGTCCCTTGCCCCTGAAATGAAGAGGTTTGTCAGCAAGTGAACATGGGTAATTTTCTTTTTTTTTTACCCTGTCAATGATTTGTAGAGCTGAGCAGGCAGCGTGGACACACACAGGGTGGAAGATGCTGATTGAGAAGGTACTGAAGATTGATGCTGACTTCAGTACACAGTCAATGTGTGTTAATGTGTGTGCAATGGTGTTTTGCTTGAGGGACATATGGAAATCTCTGGTGACATGCTTTTAGACCTTTGTGGTACACTATGCAAAACATTCCAGTTATTGTAGTGATGAAGTGTAGTCGGTCTTCGGGTGTATCTGTTTTTTTCTTGTTCCATTTTGTTTAATGATCTTTCTCTAATAACTTTCAGGAAACCCTAATGCTGTTTATGTGTAAGAGGCAAGACTTTATAGCTGAAAGGCATAATTTTAACAATGGAGACAGATTAATGCTCCATTGCTGCCAACATATGCCAAAATGGATTTCTGGTGGCTTTACAATACTGTTGCTGTTCTCCAGTGTTTTAGGAAAAATGTATTTCATACTACAGCATGCAGTGGTGATATTTTAAGCTAATGTCTTTAAATAATATATAAATGTATTGTTTAAACATGTACTGTGTAGGTAAGGAAGGGCAGCTTCATTTATAAAGCATATTTCAAACACAAAGGCAATTCAAAGTGTTTTACATAGGCAAAGAAAACATTAGAATCAGAACAATAAGCAATAAAAGCCTTTGCTTATTGAGTATAGTAGTGTGGACAAGAATTTTGACAGCTGTATTTATGCCAGGTTTAGTATCTTGCCAAGTTTAGCAAGTTAAATTGTTTATTTGTCTTTCTTTGTTACTTTTTTCTTCTTTTTTTTTCAATTGTTTCCTGCATTTCTTTAGTTCCTTCTCTCCTTTTTTTAGAGGTAGTTGTTGTTGTTTATCCTAAAACCAAAGACAAGAGGTATATCTACAATTACAGTTACTGTTTCTATTAGCTATACCTGCTTATCCTTCAGGGTCAAGGTGGGCTGGAGCCAATCCCAGCTGACATTGGGCGAGAGGCGGGGTACACCCTGGACAGGTCGCCAGTCAATCACAGGGCTGACACATCAAGACATACAATCATTCATGCTCACATTCACACCTAAGAGCAGTTTAGAGTCTGCAGTTAATGTGTTTGGACTGTGGGAGGAAACTGGAGCCACCAGAGGAAATTCATGCAGGCACAGGGAAAGCATACAAACTCCACACAGAAAGACTGGTAGAAACAAGCCCAGAACCCCCTTGGTATGACAGTGCTAACCACTGTGGCACTAAAAACATGTTATTTGTGAAATACAGTATACATTGATTTGTCTAAAAGGTGTATGCAGTCTGGGGATAGAAAATATTAATATTTATTATGACACTTAAGATCTTGCAGAACATTTATGTGCATCTGTGAAATGAAAAGAACCTTTTTTATAAATTCTCATATAACATCTCATTTGTTAGATCATCTAATTACACTGATCAGCTTGTCTTGTATCTCTGTATCATGCGTCTCAGTTTGAGCCTTGTTTATCAACAGGCTGAAAATGACAGGTTTTATCTACCATGTTATCATCAGTTTTTATCTCTATTTCTGTAAAATAAACACTGGTGAAAGTATGAAGCTACAGAGCTCACATTACCTGACTGTCTGTCACACTGTTGCATACAAACACAGCAATGCAGACTGAAGCATGGCTGCGCTTTGACATTCTTAAAGTTTATTTTTGCCTTAAGTGCTGAATTTAGCTAAATATTGGTTTAGCTCCAAGTTTGAATTACGGTACCTGCATTTTACAATGCTGTTATTATGCATATTTGTACAGTCTTGCAGTTATGCATTCTCAGTATGAGGGTACAGTTGTCCTCAGGTTGCAAGCATAAATCTGTAAGATTTATGTAGTGTTTGCGTGTTTACGATGCCTAAGCGCCATATTTTCCCCGTCTGTCTTGTCTGCAGTAGAGAGCAGGGCCTGCATACATTAGTCAGGGTGATATACTGAGTCCCACACGTGTTCACACCCATCATTCAGACTTACAGCAGCAAGCCATTGGCTGCACATTACCTCATTCTCAATAATATTACTCTGCCCACGCACACTATTCCTCGTGTCAGAGGTTGAGTGTGTGTGTGTGTCTGTGTGTGTATCTGTGTGTGTAGCTTAGGTTTATAGGGTGACTCCACAGCGGCATATGCTTTCTCAATATATGCTCTTTTCTTACATGAGAGAGGGAAATGTAACATTTGTGCTCACCTTTGTACAGGAGGTGACAAATGGCGGCATGAGAGTGTGGAAAAGGACGCAGGGGGGAGCTGTAATGAGTGTGAAAGGTCTTGGAGAGCATTAAGAAATTGACAGAAAGAGAGGTAGCGGAAGTGTGTAGGTGGGCCAGTGTCACGCTGCAGCCAATAGAGGATTATTCAAGGTTAGTGGAAGTTATTAGTTGGCGGTAAACCAGTTCCAGCCCACTGTTTACTGCCTAATTGGTCCCTGTAGTTCCCATTCACAGCTGTTTTTGTTTATTGTGGTAGCATGTGTGTGTATGAGAGAGGCGGAGGCCATCTGACTGGAGAAGATGATTATACATAGTGTGTGTGCATGTTTATGTGTGTGTTTGAATGTGTGAGAGACAGTGATGGATGGTGAAAGATAGCTTGTTTACTTGAGGCTTGCACTCTGCTCGCAGGGCCAAATGCATGTCTTGAAGAATGAGGCGTTGTTTGTTGTGATCTCTCTTTCTCCCGCTCAGTTTGACTCATGAACTGATGCTTCACTTTAGGCCTGTAACTAAGAATAACAATCTTCAATTATGAGATGTGGAGAAGATGGCCTGTTAGCTTCAGTAGTCTATTTTGTGTGTGTGTGTGTGTGTGTGCATATTTTAGCATTTAGAGGGGAGCAGATACACCTGGACTTGACTCTCAAATAAAAAGGAAGAAGTTTGACCCTTGACTTGTTTTTGTAGACAGCTAGTGATAGATCATCATATCTCTTTAAAGGATCCTAGAGTCCCACTGGGTCTGTTACCTGTCTTGATCTGAAAATGATGAGAGAGATGGGAGTGACTGAACCTAATTTCTACACCCTCAAAACAGTAAACTGAGGGCCTGTCTGGACTTCAAAAAGTAAATGGACTAAATAAGCCGCCCAGGGGCAATGGGAGCAACCTTGTTAAAAGGCATTATTAAAGGGTAATGACATTTCCAAACACCTTTTTATACACTTACTGTAGACTTCACAGTTCCTCATTCGGCCTTCATGGGACCCATCAGTATTTCAGCAGGTGATGAACAGATCAATGAGGGGCACAGCATCCTATGAAATGGTGGTCAGCAGTCTCATCTGACACAAGTGTCCTTCCTACACCACTCAGTCTATCTTTACAATGACCATTTTAAGAGAGTCTTCTTGGTGGTTCATTCAAGGAGGCTCCAACAACTGAGAATTGGCCACTGAAAAACACCACAGTCACAAGCTCTATGGCAAAAATCCTATCTAAAATAATAATATGAATGTGGTTGCCTCAAGCTTTTGAACAGCCTCATCTACCATATTTATGTAGCTGCATAACACAGAATGTTACAACAAAATAAAATAAGTTTGAAGTGATGCCTTACCCAACCAAAGCAAGTTTCA